TCGTTTTTTTCGGCTAAAAACGCCTTACTATACCGAGTCGTTTTTTTGGGGTAAAAAAAACGCCTTACTTTTCATGGTCGTCTTTTTGGGACTAAAAACGCCTTACTATACCGAGTAGTTTTTTGGGGTAAAAAACGCCTTACTGTACATAAGGGCTGTGAAATGAGCAAGAGAAAATCCAAGCCAGGGTTGCGTTTTCGTCCAGGCACAGTTCCGTGCAGGACTGCCTCATCTCGCGACCGGCGAGCTCGGTGTTTGTTGCCGTCCCAAGAAGTCGCTCGGCAGACTCTCAACGGCGGCGTTAAAACTCCGTCCGCCCTCAGTGAAGACCGACGGCTACTGTTGGTGTGCACCTACCTCGCCGACGATCGCATCAACTTCTCACCATCTGCTGTTAAAGGAGAGAAAAGAAAAAAAAAGAAAACGAGGACTAAAAATAAAAAGAGCAGCAAATGGAGACAAGAAGGGACGCAGTGTAAAGGGCAAAACATTCGTCACCTTCTGCTCGAGGAAAGAACAATGTCATTAATCTCCTGACATTTTAATATTGTATTAACCTTTCTGCTGCCTTTCGTCCAGCTCATTAGTCTGTGTGTGTGCGTGTGTGTGCGTGTGTGTGTGTGGTAAAATAATAATCAATACAGATGAGTAGCGGCCAATCGGACCAGCTTCCTTTATCTGCTCCAAACAGTGAAAGGATGAAGCCTTCTTTTAAGGTCGGTGACAAGCTTGTGATGGCGACACAAGCGGCAGGGGGAAAAGAAAAAAAGGCTCAGGGCCACAGCCAGTTTGATTGATTGATTGATTGATTTTGAAGAACTGCTTTGCCAACTGACCAAGTGTCCGTTGAGACGCTTGATGACGTCCTCCGCCTCTTGGGGCGGCACCGGCATGAGGTCCGAGTTGGAATCAACTGCGCATCAATTGGAACGATTCCCTGTCTCGATGGAGCTTTCCATCCATCTGGATAATTACGGCACGGCTGCAACCAAACGGCGTCTTGAGAGGGGGAGGAAATGACATCTTTGGTGCGCTCATTTTTCACCGGCAACAATGAATGCATCTCGCCAGTCAGAGTGTTTTATTGGGGGTGTGGGGGGTTGTGAAACTGACACTTTCTTTACTGCAGATTACTGAGGAATGGAACCAGGAATATATTTTTTGAAAGATCAGAAATCAACTGCCACAAAGTGCAAAAATACCAACGACATGCCTTCATCTCCTTGTGTTAATTTGCTGCTTCAGTGACACACATCATTGAAGGGGGGGGGTTTTGAGCTCAATGTAACCCCCCCCCCCACCCCCTCCTTCCTTCTTGTACAAGTAGTGCGCCCACGCGCCGTTCAAATTATGAAGCATAATAGCGACAGTCATGCATTTCTAAAGGCTTTGCTTCCCGCCTGACATGAATGCCACCTTCCTGTTTATGTGTGCCCCCCCCCCCCCCCGACCCCCCCTTTCCATATCTTATCTTTAGGACGGGAGGCACGTACGCAGCTGCTGGAGCAAATCATTTCATTTCCACACCAAACTGTGCTGGTGTCTGATCATGCCTGCATTCAGGGGCGACCTGCTGGAAAGGTGTTTGACGGAAGGAGGTGGTGGGGGGGGGGACACCCCCCCTCAGTTGAAACGACATCATTATTTATTCGAGGCGCACGTGAAGCGGCTGATGGTTTATCCATCATCGCCTCCCCTGTCGAGTGAGAGTGATGTCATCGAGCCAATGTCACATGACCTAACCCAGAAAATGGCCTAACCCGAGTTGGAAACTCTACTTTGAAACCCTAATCATCGTTTGAAAGCTAATTGGAAAACCCAACCCTAATTTGCACTACTGTGCAACCCGATGTTTGAAACCTAACCCTCGTTTGAAATCCTAATTGGAAAACCTGAACCCTAGTAGGCGCAGAAAGCCATTGGCGGTCCTTGCTGTCCTCTTCGGTGAGTTTTCCCTTGTATTACCAGACAAGTATGATCAAATGAGACCCGTCATAATGTTGCGAGAAAAAAAAAAGTACATTTTAATGTCATCAAGTTGAAATATCATTCTCAAAAGACAGTCCCAACAAAATCATTGCTGCTCTCGACGACTTGAGACTGCGGGAGACAGGTGGTCCTTTTTCCAAAATATTTTATTTGATATTGAGGCGGGTACAAGGGAAAAAGCAAAAGAACGTCTTCATTGTTATCTCACGGGGGGGGGAAGGAGCGCGCTCCCCTCTGTGCGCGGCCGTCACTTCCGTTGTAGGGGGTCAGGAGGACATGCAAGGGGATCCCGAGGTGACTCGCAAAGTCAATGAACCAAAAATTTCACCCGACCACTTTTTTTTTAATCCTTTCTTTTTTTTTTTTTTTTAATTAAGAAAAAGGCAGTACACACAGAGAGAGGTTACAAAGGACCGACGATTTTGAAAGAAAAATCATTTGGGCTCCTCCTGCGCACCGGAGCTCCTTCACACGGAACGCCTCGCGCATTTGACTTTACGAATACAAACAGAAATGAAAAACACTCGTCGTACACCACAAATCGTTATGCATATTCCACGAGACTTTTTATCTTTTGTTTTTTTTCCAAATAAATACAAAAGGAGGTTGTGGTGTCAACGTAAAAGAAGGGGCAACAGGATTGTTGGACATTAGAAATTGCAATTTGGTCTTTTTTTTTTTTTTTGTCGGAATGTGGGGGACCGCATTATGGATAGAATGTATATGTATACAGATATAAATATACACGTATATACATCAACACCAGCAGAATGTAAAAGAACCTGAGATACTCTCATGCACCTCATTTCCAGAAAACACTGGCCTCTGTGCCCATTGAAATGAATGAAGTGACGTCACGACAACCTCGCAACCCTTGAACAGCATGAAAAAAAAACACACACAAATATTATCGAAGCACAAAAAACTGAAAATGTTGAGCAGCAGAGATTTGGTCGAAGGCAAAGAAACAAGCACATCATCATCTGATGCTGTGTGTGTGTGTGTGCGTGTGTGTCTGCAGAATAGGAAGCTTCTTAAAGGAAGACTGCACAGCCATAAAAAGTGACAAGTTTAGCCTCGCAATATTTCGCCCCATATTACGACTTTATTGGATGAAAATTGCAAAACTGATTCCCATTGGGTATTTTTAAGCTTTTGTCGAAATATTACAGAATTTTCTTGTAAAATTCAGCTGAGGAAAATTAAAAACAATTTTCGGGGGCGGAAAATAGCAACTAGGAACTTTTTCTTGTAAAAGTACTTTTTTTTTCAATGTTACTTTTTTTGTCATATGAGATTTTTTTCACACTAAACAATAAAAAGTCGGAATCGTCCAAGAAAAAAAAAAACATTTAGCGCAAAGTAGTCATTTTACAAGTGCAATATTACAACAAATGTCTCAGTCTTCATAATTCTAGGAGAAAATTATGTTTACTTTGAATATTAATCAATGAAAAATTACAACTACAAACATTTCCGTGAATTAGACTTTTTATTTTGAATTATTCCAATTTGACAAATGACTTTTGTTGTGATAAAAGAAAAAAGAAATCAGAACATGAATCTTTCAAGAAAGATAAAAACTGGTAAAGCAGCACAATTTAGTAGTCGGTAAACAGCTGCGTGTGTGTGTGTGTGTGTGTGTGTGTGTGAGAGACGTGTCATTTCCCAAGAAACCTTGTCACAACTGCAGACGGGCGGCTCTCGGATGAGGGCGACTGAACATCAGTTGAGGAGCAAAGCAGTCAAGTGCTCCCTAAAAATAAGCCAAAAATATTCATTCAAAAGATTAAATCGACATGTAAACAATTGGACGCTCCACATCTGCGCAAGTGCCGAAACATCACCTCAGTGTGGTCAAATCGTTCAAAACCGTAAAAAAAAAAAAAAAAAAAAAAAAAGACCCCCAAATGAATAATTGGTTGCGTTAAAGTGACAGTTTCCTCTTCGAGCTTCCTGGCTGCCTCGCCAATTTTTTTTTTTTTTTTAAACAAGACATCTCTCTGTACATTTTGCACGATATAATTCTCTTCGTCTTCTCTTTACAGTACAGAAACTCCTCTTCACATCATCTTCTTCATGTCAGCAGGAGCTATGGTCTTTTTTTTTGTGCTTATCACCAAAAGTTGCAGTGCAAAAAAAAAAAAAAAAAAAAAACAACTATAATCATAATATTACAATAATTAATGGCAACTATTAACAGATTGTTTGAAAAAAAAGAGACAATTTTATGGCACAGCAGCCACACCATTCACATATAGTACAATAATAAAACAAAATAATAATAGAAAAAAAAATAATAAACTGTTGGAGGCTTGCATAGCAACAGCAAGTTGAAAGAAGATATTTACAAGGAAAGTTGAGGTTAGAAAAGGGCACTCACCAGAAATTGTGTGCTTTGTTGGACACACACAGAAAAAACAAAACAAAAACCGCAGTCCAAATTTTCCTCAAAGACCAAAACCATAGTGAGATGTACAATATGTCTGTGTCTATACATCATACGTGGAACATGTACACTTCCGACAGCCCGCCGCTCCTGCTAACAGGATGTCCGTCCGCAAAGACATAGTCGTCGTTGCCCTTGACAAGCAGGGGGTGGGGGGACTCAACCGTTATTTATTTATTTTATTTTTTTTGAAGATCTCATCCAGGTGAAACACTCTGTGAGGGGGAGGAAAAAAAAAAAACAATTGTCAAGAGGACATGGGCTGCCTAATTCACAACACTTACCTATGAATACCTTGAAAATTCCACACGTTAAAAAATAAAATAAAATAAAAAGACGACGTTAAAGCCGTCTCAAATTGCGCATATGAAAGTATAAAGACGACCGTAAATCCCCCAAAATTGTGCAGGTTCAAAATAGTGCAACAGAATCAGACTCAAAAGTTGTGCATGTCATGCGGTCATTTAATTGATAACACTCAACTATAAATAGCCTGATGGCAAAGCCATCCCAAATTGTGCATATTAAAAGTAAAAACTGTTATTAATCTTCATCGTGTCGCGGAGGTTAAAAAGAAGTCAAAGTTGCGCCTTTCAAAATAAGACGAGCGCAGTTTTTGCACTTACATAACTCTCCTGAGTACTGCCCTTGTCCGTTGGCGCCCAGGAAGTCGGCGTGCTCCATGGCCGTCCACTGCTGCGGCTGGCGCGGGCCGTCCGGCTTGCGGGGCCCCGTCGAGCCCTTGGAGGAGGCCGTGCCCGACGAGCTGTGGCCGCCCGGCGACGGGAAGGACGGTCGGTGGTACGGCAGGCAGCCCTCCTCTGAGCGCACAAACATTTAGAAACACGTTAGCGACAAGCGAAATCGGTGGAAAGCGGTGCTCTTTCATCCCACGGGTTCATTCCAAAAATCGGCAAATGGAGTGCTTTTGGTGGGGCTAGCCAGGGCCAGAGTGGCTAACCTGGCGCGCCGTGAATTTTCCGCCTTGGTCAGCCTGCTTTATGGAACGTTTGGGCTGCTATAGTCTCCCTCTTTCTCTGACAAGCTAAGCTAACTAGCATCCCCCACCCCCCTTCAGCCCAATAAGCACTTGGGGTTAGCTTAGCTCCATACAGAGGAAGCGCAATCAAAAGTAAAGATTGACAACAGAAAGAAAGATTGGCACAGAAAAGGACTTTTACAAGAAAAAGGGCTACGCTTAAGAATGTCACATGACCAAACACAGAAAGCAGGTGAGCTGTGATTGGCCGTTACCTGAGCAACTGTGATGTCATTTTCAGTCGACCAAAAGTGGCAAAATGGCTGCCGCCTGACATGACTAAAAACTGGCGGACTTTTCCGCTGAATTCAAATTCCGGAAACGCAATAACAATGCCGTGTTTGGGCAACATTTTGTTCAGAAAATTTTCAGAGTTGACTTCCCCCTTAAAGAAAAGCAACGGTTACCCAAAGAAGGCAAAGAAAAACCTCAACAGAGATAACGGCCTAACGAAGGAACCTCTGACAGAAACCCAGCCCTGTAGCCTGACTGTCTGCGTCGGGAGATTTGCTTGAGGCGGAGGGTGGCGACGACGGCGACGGTCCGTTCCCAACAGCGCCAGCCTCACTCGCACCAATAACTAGCATGTCAACGCGTTGTTCCGCCGAGCTCAGACGGGCGCGCCCAGATGGGGGGCCGGATCCGTCTGCCGCTGTCGCGGGAACTATAAAAGCCAAAGTCATTTCCGGGCAGTTTGGGAGAAGCGGCGCCTGCCAAATGCTGGCAGGAGCATCGCCGAGCGGAGTTGAGCTGGCGCATTTGCCAGAGCCAGCGCTAGTGTCAGACAGTGCCATCTGTTGACCGCACTGCAGCATGAGCGCTAACTTTCACACCGGAGGAGCAAGCGAGAGAGCGCGCGAGTGACTGCTCGGCGATATGAGCAGCCTCTGTCAATTGCAACTGCTCCAGGAAGTAGAAAATACTGAAAAACGCCTCACAAACGGAGCAAATGGAGGTTTCTTTTGGCTTTTTGGGTGATGCCATCGCCGATTGGTACCATTAATGGCTGTCATGGAGGAGTTCATTACCCACCCATCCATTCATTGTTTCGTTTTAATTCGATATGCAAGTCAACTGTTCCAATTTAATTTTTTGCACCGATTCCAAATCTGTGAGGTGTGAAACAACCCAAAAAAAATAAAAATCGGACAAAGCAACAACACCATGCCGCTAGCACGTACACCATCACAAATGCATGTTACATAAGCAGCTCTATTCTGGAGGAAAATTATTTGCTGTTAATTAACCACCAACAAAAATCATCAACAGATGGATTTTGAAAATGATCATTCGCTCCATCCCTTAGACTCGACAGAGAAATGTAACTTGGTTGAATTAGACGACCAATGGCCTAACGTCGGGCTCATTTGACAAAACTTCTGTGGATCAATGACACTGGTGCTGCTTTTTTTTGCGTTCGCTTTTCCTTCAAATTTTCCAGCGGGGGCACTACTGAGTGAGTTGCACGTACCATTTTTGTGAATTCGCCGGCCGTCGTCGGAGCCCAGTCGCTCTTGAGCCTGGCGGTGATGCTCCAGGGTGGCGCGCGCCATCTGCCTGTCGTCCGCCGTTCCGGACAGCGGTCCCGACATGGGCGGGCGCTCCAGCGACGTGGCCTTCCTCTCCGGAGGCGGGATCATGCTGTTGATGCAGCGGCCCGTCTGGGCTCGGGCCTGGCCCTGGCCGGGCGGGGGCTCGGGAGGGGGAGGTAGGTCTGTTCAGCCCAAAAAAAAAAAAAAAAAAGAATAAACGTTGCAATTATCCACCTGCAAGTGGCAGCGAGCAGAAAGAATTGAAAAGAGTCAAATCAACGGCACAGTATTCTCAGCAACAGTGCCTCCATTTTGTTTATTTTCAAATAAGTTGATTTTTCAGCCAATGATAGAAAGACTGTTTTTTTTAATTGAATACAAATCACAAATTAATGTTGACTTTTTTTTTTTTTAAATTAAAATTATTTTGGTGTGTCCAACAGGTTGTCTTTTGTATTTTTAAATCTCACCGCACTTTTAATTCCGTGACAAAACCGGGTGTCATTTTTGTTGAGCAGGGTCGTCAATATCTGCTGAATGTCACTTCAAATCCAATTTTGTTACATTACAAGCAGGTAATCTGGCATGTAATCAGTAAAGTAGCTACATTACTTATTAAAGCAAGTAATCAGCAGAGTAAATAAGTTACTTTTTAAAGTGAGTCACCAGTGAAGTAGCCAAGATTTTTTTTTTGACAGCAGGTAACCAGTAAAGTAATTAAGTTACTTTTTAAAGCCAGTAGCCAGTAAAGCAAGTCATCAGTAGAGTAACTAAGTTACTTGTTCAAGCAAGTAATCAGTAAAGTAACTGTGGCAAAACTGCAGCTGACGCCCATTCAAACACAAACGGCACGAAAGGGTGAAGGGGTTTTCAATGGACAGGAAACACCTAAAAAAGAAAAAAAAAAAATCAAGCAGGCGGATTGGAGTCAATAATGAGCACCCACCGTCCGCAGCGGCATCTCTGCGGTGGGGTGCTGAGCCCTGGTTGCGGGGTTTGCGCGGCGGCCTGGCGGCCCTCTGGTGGCCCAGGCTGTGCGTTCCCACCGTGCTGCCATCTGTGGAGAACGGGCTGCCGGGCCGCTGCCTGTGAGGCAAGCCTTTGTCTGCCGGGCGCCGGAAAAACACAACAAGCAAGCGCAACGTTAGCATGAGAGCAGACGTCGCCGCGGAGGACGCGGGTCCGCAGAGCCGGCCGGGTGAGTCGGAAGCGATCGGCGTCGGAAGCCAGGAGAAGCGAGTAGACCCGGCCGGCCGTCGCCACCCAAAACGGGGCCATGCGCAAAGCGGGCATCCGTACGGAAGGGGAGCGCTCGGAGAGCAGAAAGGAAGAAGAAACGCACGCCCCAGAGGGTAGAAAGGTCCGGGCTCTCGCCGGCACACCGACCTCTTTTACAGCGGCCGCGCTTGCTGAGGCTGGTGCCGTCCAGCCGGTAGCCCGCCTTGTCGGCGGCGGCCACCAGGGCCTGCGCAAAGCTGCAGTGGGTAAAGATGGAGCCGTCCGACGAGCTGGCCACGCTGGAGCGCCGGCTGGAGAAATTGCGCTCGTCCTCCGAGGCCGAGCCCCAGCCGTTGGCCATGGAGCCTGCAACACCACAGTTGTCGCCGCCGGCGGTGAAGCAAAACGTCTCCTCCGAGTGTTTGGCCGAGGTTCGAACGCACGGAAATCAGTCTTAACTGGGGCCCTACCTTGGTTTGACCGAGACGGTTCGGTACGGGAAGGGAACAATAAGCCATTTTCATTTGCAAAAACTACAACAACACATTTGATGACATTTAGAATGAAAGTCAACTGCAAACTGCTGGCACAAAGTTCTCCAGTCAGCGGAAGTTCAAAAAAAAAAAAAAAACCAGACAATTCACAACATCTGAATTCTTGTCGTTTTAACAACGTTAACAGCTGTAGTTTGCCTTCAACTTTTCTTTTGGGAAAGTGCAATGTCACTAGTTTGTCTTCTTGTTTTAGGAATGTTGCAGACAACATTAGCAGTTCCTAATAGACGATTGCATACAATAAAACAAAATGAGAGCTGCTAAAATATTTTTTTTCTCCTTTCATAGAAGCGCAACATCAATACAATGCATCAAAAGCCACAAAACGTCCGCTAGTCAGAGGTTGAGCTGCACTGTATTTGTTTGCGGAGAAAACGTATGGATCAAGCGGGAGGCAGTTGCGCTTCCTGATCCTCACACTTCACTACAAGTGTATCAAAAACTCGCATTTTACAACTTTCGCATACAATGCTCTTCTGCAAAGCTATACATTTACTATTTGAGTCACTGCACAGATATCGCCAACTAGTGGCTTGGCATGCACAGGACAACAGTTGGTTATCTTCCAATTGAAACTTTCCACAACCACAAAGAAAAAAAAAGTGATTTTTGCCAGCTTGTGGTGGTTTACTCAAAAAGTCAACTTTGCCCTCAAGCTGCTCTCCCCCCGCGCTTGCCTTGTTAGCACTCTGCCCCCCTCAAACAAGCGAGTTCGGAGCACTTGGGCAGGCGCCACTGAAGAAACGTGTGCCAAAGCGGGCCCACAGAAAGCTGTCACATTAACCGACTGCTCTCGTGCTCGCCAAAGTTCCAGATTTTTACTGGCGGGTTGACACCCCCCCCCTTTTTTTTACGCCCTTCTCCAAATGTGGCATTGAAGATAAAGAAATACAGAGCACAAAATGCAGACATTCAATTCAACTCTTTTCAGCTAACTGAATAAGAACCCTAAAAAGATGTTGATCTCCAGTTGCCTGGACATCTACGATTTACACGATAAATTATTACAAAAAAAAAAATAAAAAAAACCTGAATAATTTATTTGAATGTCCCTTAAATAGAAACAGCTCCCATAATGTCTGATTTGGAAAAAAATGCACTGTGGTAAATGTTTTGCCCACAGCAAAAGTTTTCAAAGGTGTAAAAAATAAAAAATAAAGGTTCACAACATTTACTGATTCAAAACATCATAATTCATATTATTCCATGCTAAAAAGGTCTATCTAGTCATCAATTGTTTAACCTGTATTTCATTTTGAAAAACGTAGCCATTAATCTCAACGTGTTCGGGCAGAGTGCTGCAGAAAGCCTGCCACAACCGGCCCTCCTTTCTTTCTTTCCTTTTTTATAATAATAATAATCATACATTTGATTTATAAGCGCCTTTCAAAACACTCATGGACACTTTACAATCAAGAACAAAACAATAAAACCACCGCTAAAACTAACAATAAAGATGTAATTTAAACAGCGTTTGCAAGTTGGAATCGGTGAGTTTTTAGGACGGGATTTGAATGTGTGAAGAGAATCCGCATTACGGATGTTATACACGTTCAAAAGCAATGGCTGTAAATTGAACCTCGCTATCAAGTGGTTAGAGATCTCTTCCGGAGATCGTTTAGATAGCTTGGAGCCCTGTGGATTAGCATAGCAATGCTGCTAAATTCGCGCTAACGATCTAATTAGCATAAGAAAAGATCGCGAAAACGCCTCGTCTACCTTTGTCACAACCAAGGCTTGCTTTTACGCCTGTTCTTTGGCATTGGTCAATTTGTGGCACATTTTTTTTTTGTGTGCATTTTTTTTGTTTCGCAAAAGTTTGTTCGTTTGTAGTTTCACCCAACATTTTCGTCGAGCTGACGTCCCGGTTGTTCCCTTGGAAGCCGTTAACCCTTATGCAGTAATACAGATTGTTACGTTTAAAGTATTTGTCCCAAATTTGGTTGCACTTTGAGGTGTGACAACTTTTTTCACTTTTGAATTTTTTTTCACTTTCAACTTTCAAAATGTTCAGTGGCATCCTGCCAAGACATTCATACATATATATTTTTATTTATTTATATTTGGCGCCCTCTATGGGCCACGCCCCAGCCGTTGGCCATGGAGCCTGCAACACCACAGTTGTCGCCGCCGGCGGTGAAGCAAAACGTCTCCTCCGAGTGTTTGGCCGAGGTTCGAACGCACGGAAATCAGTCTTAACTGGGGCCCTACCTTGGTTTGACCGAGACGGTTCGGTACGGGAAGGGAACAATAAGCCATTTTCATTTGCAAAAACTACAACAACACATTTGATGACATTTAGAATGAAAGTCAACTGCAAACTGCTGGCACAAAGTTCTCCAGTCAGCGGAAGTTCAAAAAAAAAAAAAAAAACAGACAATTCACAACATCTGAATTCTTGTCGTTTTAACAACGTTAACAGCTGTAGTTTGCCTTCAACTTTTCTTTTGGGAAAGTGCAATGTCACTAGTTTGTCTTCTTGTTTTAGGAATGTTGCAGACAACATTAGCAGTTCCTAATAGACGATTGCATACAATAAAACAAAATGAGAGCTGCTAAAATATTTTTTTTCTCCTTTCATAGAAGCGCAACATCAATACAATGCATCAAAAGCCACAAAACGTCCGCTAGTCAGAGGTTGAGCTGCACTGTATTTGTTTGCGGAGAAAACGTATGGATCAAGCGGGAGGCAGTTGCGCTTCCTGATCCTCACACTTCACTACAAGTGTATCAAAAACTCGCATTTTACAACTTTCGCATACAATGCTCTTCTGCAAAGCTATACATTTACTATTTGAGTCACTGCACAGATATCGCCAACTAGTGGCTTGGCATGCACAGGACAACAGTTTGGTTATCTTCCAATTGAAACTTTCCACAACCACAAAGAAACAAAAAGTGATTTTTGCCAGCTTGTGGTGGTTTACCCAAAAAGTCAACTTTGCCCTCAAGCTGCTCTCCCCCCGCGCTTGCCTTGTTAGCACTCTGCCCCCCTCAAACAAGCGAGTTCGGAGCACTTGGGCAGGCGCCACTGAAGAAACGTGTGCCAAAGCGGGCCCACAGAAAGCTGTCACATTAACCGACTGCTCTCGTGCTCGCCAAAGTTCCAGATTTTTACTGGCGGGTTGACACCCACCCCCCACCCCCTTTTTTTTACGCCCTTCTCCAAATGTGGCATTGAAGATAAAGAAATACAGAGCACAGAATGCAGAGACATTCAATTCAACTCTTTTCAGCTAACTGAAAAAGAACCCTAAAAAGATGTTGATCTCCAGTTGCCTGGACATCTACGATTTACACGATAAATTACAACAAAAAAAAAAACCCCTGAATAATTTATTTGAATGTCCCTTAAATAGAAACAGCTCCCATAATGTCTGATTTGGAAAAAAATGCACTGTGGTAAATGTTTTGCCCACAGCAAAAGTTTTCAAAGGTGTAAAAAATAAAAAATAAAGGTTCACAACATTTACTGATTCAAAACATCATAATTCATATTATTCCATGCCAAAAAGGTCGTTGTGTTTACAATAATTTCTATCTAGTCATCAATTGTTTAACCTGTATTTCATTTTGAAAAACGTAGCCATTAATCTCAACGTGTTCGGGCAGACTGCTGCAGAAAGCCTGTCAGAACCGGCCCTCCTTTCTTACTTTCCTTTTTTATCATAATAATAAGAATAATAATCATACATTTGATTTATAAGCACCTTTCAAAACACTCACGGACACTTTAGAATCAAGAACAAAACAATAAAACCACCGCTAAAACTAACAATAAAGTTGTCATTTAAACAGCATTTGCAAGTAAGTTGGAATCGGTGAGTTTTTAGGACGGGATTTGAATGTGTGAAGAGAATCCGCATTACGGATGTTATACACGTTCAAAAGCAATGGCTGTAAATTGAACCTCGCTATCAAGTGGTTAGTGATCTCTTCCGGAGATCGTTTAGCTAGCTCGGAGCGCCGTGGATTAGCATAGCAATGTTGCTAAATTTGCGCTAACGATCTAATTAGCATAAGAAAAGATGCGAAAACGCCTCGTCTACCTTTGTCACAACCAAGGCTTGCTTTTACGCCTGTTCTTTGGCATTGGTCAATTTGTGGCACATTTTTTTTTTGTGTGCATTTTTTTTGTTTCGCAAAAGTTTGTTCGTTTGTAGTTTCACCCAACATTTTCGTCGAGCTGACGTCCCAGTTGTTCCCTTGGAAGCCGTTAAGTCCACCACACCCAGTGTATCCAAAACCCCGTGAGAATTGTACTGAAAACTTCAATCTTCGATCTTAGAACAGGCAAGAATGGGTCAAATCACACCAGAAACGACTTTCCTATTACTCTGGGCATCTTATGGCATTATTTGTTCCTCTTTCCACACAAGAGAAAAAAAAAAAAAAACATTTTCCTTTCCTTTTGTCTCCTTACTGCAGCCCATGTGACACAAACCACAGCCTTCACCAAGCGCGACTCTTTGGATGCGCTAGGGCATGACGACACTCCAACACGGTTTCAAACACATGTTGACATGGAAACCATGAGGCCGCCCTCTTGGAAGTCACCCTTTTTGAACTACAGTAACAGTACATACAAGGCTGCTTCGCAGAGTCCCAAGTTAAACTGTCCAAAAAAGACCAATTTGGGACAGATACTGCATAAGGGTTAAGTCCACCACACACCCAGTGTATCCAAAACCCCGTGAGAACTGTACTGAAAACTTCAATCTTCGATCTTAGAACAGGCAAGAATGGATCAAATCACACCAGCAACGGGCATCTTATGGCATTATTTGTTCCTCTTTCCACACAAGAGAAAATAAAAAAAACATTTTCCTTTCCTTTTTGTCTCCTTACTGCAGCCCATGTGACACAAACCACAGCCTTCACCAAGCGCGACTCTTTGGATGCGCCAGGGCATGACGACACTCCAACACGGTTTCAAACACATGTTGACATGGAAACCATGAGGCCGCCCTCTTGGAAGTCACCCTTTTTGAACTACAGTAACAGTACATACAAGGCTGCTTCGCAGAGTCCCAAGTTAGGAGCAGACTTGACAAGACCAGACATCAAAAGAGGCGAACGAACGGCTCAACTGCTGCAATATGGATGGCGAGGGATGAGAAGATGATTATGACTTATTTAGATACAGGGGCAAATCCCCTTCAAAGAGTTTCCACTTCAAGAGTTGCGCCTTCTCCGGCAAAGGTTGCAACATATTTTCACTTCAGCTGCAGTCAGAAAGTTCTCCGATGAAAGGAAACTTCTCCAAAACGTACGCTTGCGTGAGCTACGGGAAGCTATCGAGCGCCCACCCTCTCAGCAACCATTTTTGAAATTTTAGTTGACTTTTTTTCGACGGCTGAAATCCAAGGTGGTAACTACTTTGCGCCCTCCATCTTGCCTCTCCCCCTCCACCACCCTTTGAAATTCCTTTCAGACGTTCACCGGGAGACAGAAAGACAGCCATTTCCAGTGGGTCCAATCGCCGCGCGAAGAATCGCACAGATAATGAAGTGGAGGCAGTGGCAGGCAAAAAAAAAAAAAGCTGCCGCGGCTTTGGAGGTGTAACACTGCCTCGGCATATCACATCACAGAATGACTTTTTTTTTTTCTTTGCCTCCCCTTACTTTCTTTTTCCCCCGCGCGAACAGCCACTTTCCATTCGATGAAATAGCGGCGCAATCAAAACTGTCGTAATTTGATAAAAATTCAATCACGTTTTCTCTTTGGCTCCCCTTACTTTCTTTTTTTCCCCCGTGAACAGCCACATCCCATTCGATGAAATAGCGGCGCAATCAAAACTGTCGTAATTTGATAAAAATTCAATCACGTTTTCTCTTTAAGCTCATAGGGGGAAAGTTGCTCCGATTTTTAAAACCAACTCTGGATGACTTTTGACACTCAAATTGAGGGGAAGGAAAAACTTTGACCCGAACGAGCATGCGGCGACCACTGTGGTGCGGTTTGGAAGATGACGACTGCTCTGGCTTGTGTTAACACAGTCGCAACGTGTCGAATGATCTCAAGTCACTCCCGTTGACGGCTTCAGAAGTCAAAAGGAAAGGGCCATGATCTTAAATGGTTTGGCACCGAATGAGTATAGCGAATCCATTTTCGAAACCGACAGACAAATAAGAACACGACCCGGACTGGGAATGCTCATGCTAAAAACAACTTGGCAAGCGTGTACTTTGTGCCTTGATCCTTGAAAGAAGCAAGAAGTGCTCTTTTCACACAACCAACCATTCAGTCGGGGACGGTGACGGAAAAAAAAAAATCTGTTGCGTCAGATTTGAATGCTGATTAAAGCGAAAATTGACCTGCTGAGTCCAAAATTGCATTCTCGCGTTGTAGTGTGTGCGGCCCAAATATCGCGAGGGTCCCCATTGAAAATGTTTCGGATAAGACTCGGCTTTCTTACGCAGAGTGCCGTTTCTGCGTCGGTCGGAAACAATGACAAATCAATCGAGGCTTGACAGGAAGCTTCCGGTTATTTGTACAGTGGCCGCAAATAAATCTTCCGCCGTCGCTATCTCGGCAGTATTGCTCCCCCCGCTCGGGGTGTCGAGCGAGGCCCGGCTGTGACCGACGGGCGGATAGATGAGAAGAAATAGTGCTCCCCTCTCGGTAATACAGTGCAGGCGAGATGCGGCAGATTAGGGCGCAGTCGCCGCTTTATATTCCCTTAAATACATCAGTAGCAGCATGTGTCAGCACAAGCAAAACCGCACTTCCATCACGCCGCGGAAAAGTACTTTACCCGCCACCGAAGGGCCGCAGCAGCCGGCCAAATCTTTTATTCCCCTTCAGATATTTTCCGCCTGTTTTTTTTTTCCCCTCCCCCCCCTCCCGTGCTTTTGCTTTCCTCACATACATTTCCCGATTGGCTTTCTCCACTTTCATTGAGCGAAGGGGGCAAGGCGTCGCCGTTTTTACAGCGCAAAAGCCATTTGGATGGCCAAACACCGCTCGTTTCTTTTATGCGCGACTTTGCCGCGGTCAGCGCGTTAGCGGCGGTGGCCACGTTGTGCCCTTCGAGTGTCCCGCCCCGCCTCCCTCGGTTTTGACAGATGGCTGTTAAAGTTTTCAGAGAGTTGTAAAAATGGAAATGGTCTGGAATGGAAATAGGCACTGCCACACGTGAATTTTATTTCAAATCTCCTCCATGAGATATGGCCGCGTGGCGCCAGACTCCCTGTTAATTTCCCTCTCGCTCTCCTGTTTAAAATTCATGGACTTTCTTATCGTTTTTTTCTAATTTTTTTTTTTCTTGGGGGTGCGGGGGTGGGGGGGGGGATAATTATAATTCCCCCGAGTGTGCCAGCGGTGCTTAAAAACTTGATTGAGGGACATTGGGTGCGCATGTTCTCATCTAAATGAACACATTGCGGAGGCACGAGCAACACGCCGCATGAACAACAACAATCAGGCGACTGTCACAGGAGATGACAAAACAACTGAGACATGACGCCGCAGCGGAGTCCTTCGTGGAAAGAAAATAACACTCATTAAGCACCGAGGAAGGCGGGGAAAAAGCGCCATGATTCAAAATCCACCAAAAGAGCCGCGTGTTGGAATAAGACCATCATAAAGCCCCTGAAAGTTAAAAAGGTAAAATACGACAACCCAAAATTGATGCGCTGCTCACAAATAAGTTAAACAAGTTCAAATGAACTACTCAGAAACTGTCCAAAGGTTACACAGATGAAAAAAAATGTATACACACACACACATACTACCATTAAAAAAAAATTAAGAAGCCCATAAATCAAGTCGAAGGTCAAAATGTGAATACCCTTAAGTTTTGTTGGTTTGAACTGCGGTCCCCAACCACCGGTCCCATTTGGTAGCGGGCCGCACAGAGACAAACCCAAGATCTTTTTTTGTTTTGTTTTTGTTTTTGCTGAGCGTCAGCCAGTGAAAATAAAAAAATTGAGCAAATGTACTGCAAATCAACGCGCATCTGATTGGCAGCCGTGACTTCCGAAGACGAAACTTTTGGGAGGACTGAAATGTGGGCTCACCTGTCAAAGAGCTGTCCAGGTTGTCCATGCTGGAACCCGGCGTGTGCTCGATTCCTCGGGGATGCCTGGCCCCGTAGCCTTCGTCTTCCTCGTCGTCATCTTCCTCGTCGTCCTCGTCCGCCAGGTCCGTCTCCAGGTCGGACACCATCGTGCTTGACACGTAGCCTACCGGAGGCGCCGGGGCCTGTGGGGGAAGGGACCCCACCTGCACGTGCCTGTCGTCGACCCGGGAAAGCGAGGACCGGAACATTAACATGTGGATGAATGTTGCGCCACAATACCGCTAGGCTGGCACGCTAACACGACGACCCATTTGTTGCGGAGGGCACAAAAGCGCGCGCTCCTCGGAAAGGGCGGGCTGTCGCGGTGCCCCGACCGCAACTGTTCCACGTTTGTGTGACACGCCGAAGGCTTGTAATTAGCGGCCACCTCCGAGCAACAATAGTCATTACAACGGCTAACATGACATCTCCGTGCTGACAATAAGACCCCCGGCCCCCTTGGCACCCGTACCAATGAATGCCAGATTGTCCTCGTTCCGGACAGAAAGGAGCTTGGCCTTCGGATGACTTGCATCAACACAACAGGCCGGGAATGTGAATGTGTGCGTGTGCGTAAAGACGAGGACACGGGGTCTGTCCGTCTGCAAGCACGCTGGCAAGAGCGCCATTAAAATGAAATGATTAATGGGTTTATCTCCACTGCACACACAGGCGACACAAAGAGTAGCTGTTAGAGCAACAACAGAATCAATCCTGCCGCCTCTGGCAAATACGCATACAGTAAGCATTTTTAAATCACACACACACACACACACACACACACAGACACACACACACTGTGTGTGTGTGTCTGTGTGTGTGTGTTTACGTTGTCAGGCTGAAGCAGCGGATCTTATTTAATGGTCTGGCAATTTTTTCTTCCGCTACCTGCAAACAATGTTTTGTTTTGTGTAATGCTAACGCTCTAGATTGGGTTATTCCTAATATTGTGATTGTAGGCAGTTATCGCTATTATCTTAACTCTTGATTTGGGATGGCAGCCACTTAATTGAAACACAAATAAGGACATCTTTACAGTATCTATATTTCGAATTTGTTATTGTATGCAGCATATTTTAAGTCTCCTCCAAAACTGTCCGTTTTTAATGAATGACACTGGTCAATGGCAAATTTTAACCAGAAATGACTTGATGTGTTCTTAAAATGATTTCAAAAAAATCCTTCAAGCAGCACTTGCAGGTTTTTTTTTTTTTTTAGATATTTTCATTTCTTGTTTTGAACATGGACCTCTAAAAGCTTATGTGGCATAGATTTTACCCTGCATTGTAATTTTCGCGATGTTGTTTCAGAAAAAAACTCCTGTTGCTGAACCTAACACTTTATTCCAAAATATGACAAAATAGGCGGCAGGTTACCATGTCTGCTTGGCCACGTCCATTTGGTAGGCTCGCGTCAGCTCGTCCAGATGGGCCTGCAGCATGGGCTGCATCTCGTCCCGAGGCGACGGGGTGAGGGTGGCCGTCGACTGCTGGCCGAAGGAGACGGCGGCCGGGGAGGAGGCCACCCCGCGGACGGGCGGGGTGGGCACCCGCTCCTCCTCTTCCTCCAGCTCGTCCTCCATGCCCTGGTGGAGGTACGTCTGCACCGGCATCGGCGGACCCCAGCCGTCGCCCTCGTATCTGGCCGGCGAATGGACGGTGCATTTCGGATTTAAACAAACAACAACAAAAAAATGATACACATAAAAGGAAGACACTCACAAGCAATGGAAATGCTAAACCAAAAAAGACAGTTAGTTCCCTATTTGACTAGAGTTGACCTTCACATCCTTATGGTTCAGCACCCGCTGAATTGCATATTCACGTATTGCTTTCACAAGCTGAAGATATTTTGCCGACCCTAAACAAGGGGAACGTTGAAAAATGCTCACCGAACTGGAGCAGACTGTACTATACTTTGAGAAAACTCAGCAACCGTGACCTCAAAATGCGCACGGAACCGGAGCAAACGACCGTATTTTTCCAACCATAAGCCGCAATCTCAAAATGAACAGGCCTCTTTTTAGAAATGTCCATATCGAGGGATATTCCGTAACAAACCATAAATCAGGCGCACTGTTGATTTTTGAGAAAACGGCAAGATTTTAAGTGCACCTCAAAGTCTGAAAAATACTGTACTTGGACACACCAGGACTGTCAAGCTTGAAAACGGGCAGTGTGGGCTGAATGATGACAAACGCAATTTCAATTGCACCACCAGGAGAAGAGGAGTAACTTGACTGTTTGTTTCAGCAAATTTGCGCCGTGTTCACCGAACCGCGCCGATGCAGTCGGGCCGGGCTAGCCGCTAACTGCCCTTATAGCGGAATGAAGAAAGCGTTCAAGAAGGAAATTTGTCAGTACACAAGCGTGGAGGACATTACACTTTTAATCGGCTGCCATGAGGAGATTTACAGCGCACATTGCACCTCATTTGGCAGCCGGCCTATTAAAGCGGATGACTCTTCCAGATTGCAAATGGCGAGCGAGGGGACACGCGAGCTGCCGGACCGAGGAAAGCGACTCACCGGAGGTGTTCGGGGCTCCGCGGCACTCAAAAAGACTCCAAAGCGCAATCGGGGCAAAGAGATTCCATTTGAAACCGTCTGCGCCGGTAGACGGTTTATTCCGCGGTCATGGAGTGGGCTTCCGGGGTTTAAGAATTTGGGAACTTTTCAATGGGGGGTGATTTTAAATGGATTTCGTTATTACAACACGACCGTCGGTCGGAAAGAATGAAGGCCTAAAAGTCATTCGGGAGTTGTGGTCCTTTTACCGCGCGTCGCCTCGAAGCGACGGCGTCAAGGGGCAACCGAGAGAAAAAAGCGCCATAAGATGACGTCGCTCCGCGGCGATGAGTTTGCGTCTTTCTTACGGCTCCCCTGCATTGGCCGAAACGCGACGCTAGCTAACAAGTGCTCGTCTTTTTTGGTTCCGAACTGGAAAAGTGTGCAGTCATACCTCGACTTTGGACCATAATCCGTTCAAGAAGGCTGTTCGAAAACCGAAACTACGCTCATATAAAAAAAAAACCTAAATCTTTATTGAACACGTCAGCTCACAATGGAACACGACACGAGGAAGCGTCACTTCCTCGTGTAAGGAAGCCGAGAGGAGTCAAGTGGCGCATTCAAGTGCGCTCAGTTTGGTCGAGAACCAATTTTCGGTCTCAATCCGAGGCATAAAAAAAACTCGAAATTTTTCGTCGAAAACCGATTAGGTCGAGAACAGAGACGTTCGAAAACAGAGGTTTGACTGTATCTAAAAAAAAAACAAAAAAAAGCAACAAAAAAACTCTGCTTAATACTTCCGAACAGGAATTCAAGCCACAAATCCACTTCAGAAACTCTCCACTAGGCAGACAAGTGATGAAAGCAAGACCACCCGAGATTTGTTGAAGACGTTGCGATGTGTCGAACTTTAGACGCAGCATTATGCGCTGCACTTATTGCACGTTGAAGTTTGCGGACTGTTATAAAATACCTCAATTTGACTTGTGAATGGAAAATTTCAATTTTTAGTACACAATACCACAAGCTGTTTTTTTAAACTTGCACACAAAAAATACATCAATTGTAAAAGAAAAAAAAAACACTCGAACTAATAATTACAACTATACAACAACAAAGCATTTTCCCCAAACTCATAAAAACAAAGAAACAAAAGAAAACTCCTCGCGAAATAAACATTCCCCAACTATTGCAACTTTGCAAGTGACACCATCTCTTGAAACCTACCCTCCTGCATCATGGTGCTCGTTGGGGTAGTGGTCCATGTCGGTGCCCGGAAGCGGGTGGATCGGGGGAGGGGGTAAGGGAACATTGGCCCAGGTGGAGCCGGTGGCTTTCGGGGCTTTGGAACCGGCCTTGGTCTTCTTCTTCTTTCCTCCTTTGCCACCTAAAACAAATCACTTCTGTTAGAGGACCAAGCTGAGACGGACGACGCCCATCGTTTTCACGGCAGCTGGAAGAAAGAAGCGAAAATGTCAGGAAAATGGAGCCTTTCAAACAAGATGCTGCCTACACACCAAAAAAAAAAAAAAAAATCCAAGGTCGTCGGATGAAAAGCAACTTGCCATCGATCGACAGGCTGAAAAGCCGCCCATCGCCATAGAAACAGCGGCGAGGAGCCGTCCGCAGACCTTGGCGCTCCACCAATCGCTCGCCCTTCTTTCTTTCACTGCACGCTTTTGGTTTCACAGGGGGGAAAGGGGGGGAGTCGCTCTCTGCCACCTCATCATAATGAATGGCTTCGGTGGAGTCGGTGTGGTCCTCGTGCATTTCGCCCTCAGTCCATTACTCCTTTCATTTCTTTTATTACACCGGAGAGCCGACAACCTCCGCCCCCCCCGGCCATTTTCACCCGCATCCTTCCAAAACCCGACACCCCCCTCCCGTTGCGTCCATCTTTGTAGAGATGCCGGCCGGCTCTGCAGCAGGTTTCAGACAAGGATCCCCCTTTATTTTTTTTTTCCTCCACTCTTCAAAGAACATGTTTTTGTTGCGGCTCGTCCGCTTTTCTCTCTTCACTCATTCAATGCCAAAGACATTTTTTTCCCGTATTTTTTTTAAGAATCCGGGCATTTAATTCCGAGGATGTCTATTTATTTGTAGATTTTTTTTCCCCTACAAGGTAGGATAAAAAAGGGGATGAAAATAGCTGGCACTGAATGAGTTCAAGACATTGTGTGCCATCCCGTGTTCATTTTCCAGCCATTTTAGCCGTGTTGATTGAATCCGGGTTCATCTCAGTTCTTTGCACGGCATCTAAAATAAATGGCCCGTTGAAAGCCACGGAAAATGGAAAATGACCCCCCCCCCCCACACAAAACATTTCTGCCTCAAAACTATCATTAATAATTTTAAAACTATATTTGCCGTGTTTACCGTCCGGAAATTTGATGCAGACGGACTCGGTGGGTCACTGAGTGGTGACTTCCTTGGAGGGATATTACTGACAGCCAAAGTTTGGGATTGCTTTCAACCAAAAAAAAGAACAAAAAAAGAAATTTTGATATTCATTGCTGTTCAAAACAAATTCGTCACCGGACGAATCCGAATCTCCTTCAACTTTACTTCACTTGCGGACTGAATTAACATGTGCTCCTTGGGAGTGTGCCCATGTTGTCTTTGTGCCGTTCGATAGAGGGCACAAGTGCGTTTCCGCTGGGCACCGCTTGACTCTTAGCAATAACGACAGCACTAATTGACACGAAGCCCATTCTTCTTCTTCTTCTTCTTCTTGCTTTTCTTCTTCTAGGAAAAGTCTGGCGGTCTGGCACCCGAGAACTTCCCTCCAAATATGAAAAGTAGAGAGCGCGAGGGCTGCGGCCAGGCAGCCAAGCACGAATTACAGAAGCGGGCCTCCGCCGGCGTGCAAAGCGGCGGGCGCCTTCTAAATATAGACGCCGCTTTGGGTATTTATACCCCGAGGTTTTTTGGGGCACTCCCAGCATAAAAGTGCAGGATTTGCAGCCCTGACGCTCGCCGTGTTTTCATTGGGTGCCGAGGAGGGGAAGCCGCACATAACTCACCGGCGGAGACGGCTGTCAAAATAACCGTGAAGCATCTCCTATTTGATTTGGCTTCGCGCACCCAAAAAAATAACAACAAAAGAAAAATCGCAGTAAGGTGAGACGAGAACGGCTAACTATGCTGTGCTTACGACAGCAGCAACTCAGCGCAACTCGCTTTCAGGATTCGCTTCGGTTGGTCGGCATCCATACGTGGACCGAAATCAGCGATTCTCGTGGGACTTTGGTTGGAAATTGGACGGAACGGCAAGACTATTATTCGGGAACGCGGCGTAATGCGCGTCGACGACGCATCCGCGGGGAGCAAGATGGCGCTCAGGCTACGTTTTTAAAAAGCGCCGCAAGGTTGGCCACACGGGAGGCTGACAATGTGCAGGCTTTCTTGACGATGAGCATCAAATACACATTTAAAAATGTCAAGTATGTCATATACCGAACGCCGATGATACATGTTCAAAAAGGTGACGATATTCCAGCACGGGTCAAGCTTTGAACTGAAGGTTTCTGTCAGCGGTACGACCTGCGTGGAGAAAAGTTCCCTTCGGGGCTGCGCTCTGCCTCACTTCGCCCCGCACGATGGAATTGGAGAGCAGTCAAGGCCGAGGTCGCCGAGGCGGCGCGTCCTACAAATGACATCGCAATTCCCCCCGGGGGAAGTTTTAGCGCGATGGGCCAGGAAGGCGCTTTCGCCACTTTAGCCAGCCGAGCACCTTGAATGGCGGGCGCGGGTGCCAACACCACTCTGACTGTCACACACCTCACGCTCACTCCTGAGTTAAGGGAAGCAACAAGGAGGAGGACCAAAAAAAAAAAAAAAAAAAAAGGATGAAAATCATTTGACGTTGCCACGTAAATGCAAAACGCGCTTTCGAATCCGGGCCGGCGTTACATACAATTGTTGAGGATTCGGATTTAAGAGAAGATTGAGAACACTTTTTCCCCCACACTGATACCAGTACAAGTATTCAATACTTGAGTAGTCAGCGATACTGTATATACCCCCGCCCCCCTCCAACCCCTCCCAAAAGAACATAAAGGGGTCTCGGCACCGATGCCGCTAAGTGATCCCGAGCTGAGATTTTGAAGTGGGTCGGGTTTCCAAGTTAGCGTTTCGAAAACAAGGCTGTGGTTTTTCAGCGGGTGTGACGACTTCCCGTTGGTGTTTTAAAATCAGGGGGATTTGTGGACACTGCTCAGTAGCGCTCGTCCCTCTTTTTTTTTTGCTTTGAGGCTTTCGACTCAGCAGCGTGTTGCATTGCGTTGACGGCCTTGAGGTTCTTCATTCCTTCTTTTCACTCTCTTGTCTGGCTTGTGTCTGATTTGTACTTTGCAAACGGTGGTTGCTTTTTACAGTTAGAATAACATTTTGGCGTTCAGGGGCACGCGTCTCTCGAAAGACCACGGTGAATTCCTGCTTTAAAAATGCCACGACCCCCGCAGCCAAACGTCGGCATCGCGTGGCGAATGACAGCCGCGTGCTGTTCTTCCGCTTCCTCGTCGGGGGAAAAAGGGAGCCGTCTACTCGAGGCTCGTCGGCTCAAGTGGACAACGATTAATTGGGGCACGGCGCCGATTTGAGGGAACGTCGTCCGGCAATAACAACATGAAAGCGGAGGAGGCGGAGGGGCAGAGCAAAGCTTCGCTGGTGAAGGGATATGGCGTTCATCAAAAGATGTCGGCCTTGTACATGCAAATTCCAAAGCAATGAAGCAATTAGAAGAGCTGTCAATCACCAGGCGGAGTTGCCCCCAGGGGGGCGTGTCCCGGAAAAAAAACAAAACAAAGAAAACCAACCTGAGAGGCTGCCGCTTCGCTCTGAGCTGTTGTGAGAGCTGGTGGTGCTGAAATCTTGCGAGTGGTTGTGCGGAATTCGATTAGACAGCCCGTCGGTCAGCCGGTAGTCGGGAATGAAAAGGAGGGCTACAAGTGGGGGAGGCGAAAAGGGGAGGGGGGGAGGGGGAAGAAAGAAAAAAAAAGGGGGGAGAAGCAAAGCATCACTGTGGCGTCAGGTGACAGGCAGCACAAGCACATGCAAACGCATGCAGTTCCAGCACCCAGCAAGCATGATAGCGAGGTCTCAAAAGACAAAGACAAAACAAATAGATATATTCAAAAAGCAGCAGCTAACGGGGGGAGGGGGGGGAACGAGGATTCCTGTGTATGTTGTGGGTCAAATTGACCCGTGCTAATATTTGAACCATCCAGGTATATTGCGGGTCAATTTGACCCACTCTAAAAATGTACATTGCGCATATACTGTATATGAAATACACCACAGCACCATAGAAACAAACATAAGCGGAGGCTTCCACATGACATGTGCATCTTCATTTCGAGCTAATCCATGTTTGTCAGAAAAACAACAGGTGCAAATAGTCCCAGGATTCTTCTACTGCAGGGGTCCCCAACCGCCGGTCCGCGGAACCATAGAAACAAACATAAGCGGAGGCTTCCACATGACATGTGCATCTTCATTTCGAGCTAATCCATGTTTGTCAGAAAAACAACAGGTGCAAATAGTCCCAGGATTCTTCTACTGCAGGGGTCCCCAACCGCCGGTCCGCGGACCGGTACCGGTCCGCAGGGCATTTGGTACCGGGCCGCACAGCAAGAACTTGCCTTATTTCCGTTTTATTTATTTCGGAATACGAAATGTGTTTTATTTTGAAAAATTACCGGATTCT